TCAATTTAGTTTCCATACTTGTTTTATAAATTAAATTAATGAGAGAACCAAAGAGAAGCGAATCCTTCCAAGACAAATGACACAGCGACTCTCGATATAAGGAATCACTCGCACAGAAGCTCCATTCGCGTACCAGAGTGTCTTGACTAATGGTTGTGGGCATGACATCTCATTTAAGGATTCTTTTATTTATGTGTTATAATTTAATATTACATAAAAAGTGAGGCAACAAGCGATGATGACATCACATTGATACATAACACTGTCTCGTATGTAGAGGTAGTTACATGGATTTATCTTTTGCTCACAAGTAGTCGAGCCCCAGTTAAATATACTTCGAGCAGCAAGCAACAAATAGACCTTATTAGGGCTGGATTTGTAGGGAGTTTGTGGCTGCAAAAGTATTTAAAAAAACTAGGAGTTTTAAGGGTTTATAAAGGACTACTCAGGGCTCGTTTCAGGGAATGAAAACACAGAAGGTCTGTATTAGTGGACTGAGTTGGCCTATGTCTTGTCTCTAAAGCACTGTGAACCACTTGTGACCATGCATAGTTTAAAGTCTCTTTCTGAATATAGCAGAAGCACAAGTAACCAAGAACAAGAGAGACCAAGAACAGAAAGAAAGAATGTGGTTGTGGTCAGCCGCCTCCACAAGGGATAGAGGTCTGGCAACACAAAACACAACTTCTCAAAATTTGCGATACAGATATTTCAAGTCGTTTCTCTTGAAAATCATTAAAGTGCAACATATATTTATAGGCTAATGACTCTCGTAAATTGCTAGCCGGACTAAACTCAAAATTTTTTTTAGAAAACTAAAAATATTTAGCAATTAATAGTATTCTAGATCAACTATGACTTTCCAATTCTACTTTAATCATAATGGGAACTTTATGACTTCTAAGTTTTACTATCAAATACTTTCAAAATAGGGAAACTGGACTTGTGAGCCAACGTAAAATTATTTTAAGTCATTAACGGACTGACCCAACACCACATAAATTACATTAAATGTGGCGTCGAGACCCTTACAGACCACCCATGTTTCAATTCAATCTATTGAGGTAATCACTGCAATTTATTAGCCACCCTAACTGATTAACTTTATATAGACTTTGAGCTATCACATGCGACATGAAGACTTCAAAATTTAGTCACACCAATCTTAATTCTTGATAACCTAATGGTGCTTATCGCATGTGATAATTCCAGCAACAATATCTAAACTCATTTTTTTCTTCCTTATCATGATCTTCAATCCTATCTTCTCACTATACACTACAACATGCGCCAAGGGATTGTACTTCCTAGGAGTATTTTTTTGGTTCGAAAGGTTTCCTGAGAAGTGTAATGTGGAATTATCGAGAGTGAACTGATTTAATGCTAAGTAAAATTGATGCTGAACTTGTCCTTAAATTTTTCAATCATACACACACAGCTACTCGCTACTCAACTTAAAAAACTTCCCTAGGAAAAAAAAATCTAGAGGATCCTTGCTCCTAACACATAGACACTTCTAAAATTGCTATAAAAGTGACTCTCGAGGACATATTGTGAGACATCTTCTACTAATCTTTCTAGTGAACGAATAAGAGGATATGGAGCTATGAGATGCTCCCATTACGTTCTATCTCCCTGTGATTTTACCGAATGAGCACGTTCCTTGAATGTCAATGACACTTACGTAGTTGAATGTTCATAAGTACTCCTCTTGATTAATCCTATAAAATGCTCTATTAGTTTGGTAAACACGATTTTATCATAAAAAGATAATAGAAGCTATATTATAAAGACAATAAATATATTGCAAATCCTACTGTCTTGCTGTCCTTATTTCTGAGATACTGTTTGTCTCATCATACGCATAATACATTAGAACATCTTCTTGACACACTTTCTAAATTCCACATTTACTCTGCACCCTCCCAACTCATCTACCCGCCACGTGAAGTCCCATGTCAACATAGAATTAATATTACTGCATTTCTTTATGAGTGTAAAACTATTTTTTCTGAACATACTATGAAGGCAAATGTAGCATACACCTCTTCTATGATACATAGAGACTTCTTATCTTAACAGGGGGCCATCATCAATGGCACAAAACACTTGCAACTGACAGGAAGAAAAAGAAATTCTAGATACTTTTAGTGCAAGATGTGGTGTAAGAAGCAACAAGGAGATAGTGCATGCCTATAATCATCGGAGAAGACCGCAGACCAAAGCCACACTGCCAAAGATATATAGATAAACGGTTTGAAAGAATGCACTGGCTTTCAGAGAAAGTCATAAAGAATGTCAGCGAAACTCAAGACCAAACTATCATAAGAAAATATAAAGGCGGGGGGGGGGGGGGGGGGGGGGCGGGGGCGAGGGTGTGTGGGGGGGGGGGGGGGGGGAAAGAAAAAAGACAAGGCAAGAGCATAAAGTCCTTCTCCAACTGCCTGTGATTATAAAGTTCAAAACATACGAAATTCATTCCTCTCTCGATGAACATAGCAAGCATATCAACTTATCAATTCATTTCATTTATTCCATATATATATACATATACATATATGTGATTGTTTACATCATTTTTTATAGTTTGTACTGAATCTTAATGATTCTCAATTCTATTCAATCCATGATTCACAAAATTAGGATTTCGATTCAAAATACAATTCTCAATACGATAACTATGCTGGCATGGTAGAGTCAAAAGTGCTAATTTTGTCACCAAACCTATGCAGCTTTAGTTGGGATGTATAAACCAAAAACTAAGGTGTCCAACAGCCTAATAGTAAAGCCTACCAGAAGTACAATCATAATCTCAGTCAAAACCTACCATCAATAAATTGTTTAAGAGGAGGAAGGGGGAAAATATATAAACATATATATAGAATATCAACTTCTTGCATCGTGGTGTTTAATCCTCAATAAGTAATTGCATGATGTGTATCTCATATGGAAGACCACTTTGTTTCTCAAAATAGGATACATCATTAGAGATAGTATCTCGCAATCCAGAATCGTGATCAGGCTCTAAAGACAATTTCAAGGGAATATTATTAATTGCCTTAAAAATGTTAGCAAAAGTTATGTATAATGTGTCTCACCCGCTTTACCGAAAGCTTCACAATTAGCAGAAAATAGTACATTACTCCGAAATACAACTTGACAAATGATCAGTGAGTAATTCAAATAGCTCTCAAGAAATCCACCAAGGACATCTTACCCTTTCTCCACATCAAATTAAAATTACAGTAAAAAAAACCTCCCAAAACCCTCTTTAGTCCTTAACTCAAACTCATATCAAAATGCATTTCTCATTTTTTACTCAAATAATCAAATCAAGGAAGACTAAAATGTTTACTCATATGTTTGAAGTCTATTTTGCAACTTTCAAATTTACCACTCTGCCACTAATGAATCTTTTACTCCGTTTGGATCGGAGGATGAGAAGAAAAAAAAAATTAGTGTGGTCTATCATCCAGGAAAGAAAATAAATTATTTGGATGAGTAAAAACAAAGCATGTGAGAGAGGGATATTAGTGAGATTTCATTTTGTTCCATTGTATTTTAATGGGCAATTTTTGTATTATAAATTTTTTACAACCAATCAACTTGTTTCTCACCAAATTTTACCATTTCGGTAAGAAATAGAATAGATTTACACACCGTTTGGATTGAGAAATGAGGAAGGAAAAAAATGATTGACTATAATTAAAAGAGTATCACCATTTTGGTGAGAAGCAAAACTTAAGTTTGGTCTGATTGACCTGCTCACAATTTCTCTTCATTTCTCACCATTACTCACCTCATTAATCATCCAAACAAGTGATAAGAAACCTCATTTCCCTCCATTTCTTTTCTCTTCTCACCAAAACCCTCAATCCAAACAGAGTGTTAGTAAACAAGTTATCTTTCTCACCATTTCTAACTATTTCTCACTCAGCTTACAAAAATCAACCATGAGAAAATTTCTGTTTCGCATCATTTCTCATTAAATCACCCCATCCAAACAGAGTGTCAAATTTGTGCTTAAATCTATGTTTTGTCCATTAGAATGCTACATAGCAAAGCTTTACTCAAATTTTTTACCGAAAAAGAAAAAGAAAAAGAAAAAGAAAGAAAATTAATCCAGCACTAAAGCTAATTAGTAATTGAATCGATATGAGCAATCTGTGGTATAATAATAGGATCAAGCTATACTAAAAGAGATTCAAATTGATACAAGTATATATAAATAGGGGCTGAGAAAGTGGTGGGTACAAACAATTTCCATGGAATCAGGAGAAGAAGAGAGTCCTTCCTCAAGGGCAAGAGAGAGAGCGAGGTCTCGAACTCTGAAGACATGAGAAGCATCGTGAGATGCATCGTTTGCTTTCATAGCCGATACCATAAGCTTCTCTGCCTTCTTCACTGTCTCACTCTTCCCCATTTTTCACCTCTCTCTCTCTGTCTCTCTCTCACAAAGCAAAGCCAAGTAGGAATTGGTGACTCCCTGGGGACCTTTCTGGTAGGGAGAATTATGGAATAGTAGGTGTCTTTTTGGAAGAAAAATGATGCTTACCACTAATTAGTGGTTGCACCCACTCCCACACGTGGGTTTTGGGTATTAGTTTTTATTTTTTTTATTTTTTTTAATTTATCACATTATTAGTGATGGTGTTAGTAGTAAAAATTTAATGATTTGTAGAATTGTTGGTGTTTGGAATAGTAGGTGTCTCTATTTATATAATATATTTTATCTCAAAGCCCACCGTCAATTATTTTATTTTTTATTATAATTCTGACCTTAGGTTAAAGATCACGAAGGATAAAAGGTTATGATAGACACCATTTATATAATTATCATAAAAGACAATAGTGAATATTATACACATCAAAAATTTCAAACATTACTTACGTATCTTGTCTGTCAAGAATTTAAAAATCCTAAAACAAAAACCAAAAGCCCTTAAAGAAATAATCAAAAATATAAGTATTATTATTGAAGATTTTGATTGGATTCAATGATGGATTCATCTAGCAATATTGGTTCGGAACAATGCAGTAAGGAAAAGGTAATTTTTTTCATTTTTTTTTTCGTTTTCGTGTACTTGTTGAGTAGTAAACCGTTTGTATTAGTTCGGTTATCCAGAGTCGAATAAGATATCTATGTTCGACTAACTATAACCGAACAAAATGTATATGTTCGGTTTCTTGTGTCGAACATTTTGCAATTATTCAGTTTGTAAGTATTGAGCAAACACCAATTGTTCGATTATAAACAGCTGAACAATTCCACTTAGTTCAACTTTGTACTTCCGAACACTTATAATATTTTATTTTATATTTTGCTTTTTCCAGAACTATGTGTTAGGTTTTTATTATTGGCAATCCCGTTTGACAAAACTCCTTTGAGTTGTAATTTTGTTCGCATTTTTATTTCAGTGAGGCTATGAGTTTTTAGATGCGAATCCAATCCGAATTGTGCCTTGTAGAGAAGTTTGTGATGTTAATGCTTTTAAGATTGCCACTTCGCTGATTATGACAGGGAACGAGCTGCCCGGTCAGCTCGCGGGTCCAGGGGGCAGCGCCCCTTGGAGGGTCCGAAGTAGCGCCACGGCGGGGTTGAGAGGCAGCGCCCCCGAAGCAAAATGCAAAATTGCATTCGAAGTTGTATGTCCACCCTTGCTCGCTCAAGCGAAGGAGTGCTCGCTCGAGCGAAGGCTGCGTCTGTGTAAAAACCTGAAAGAGATGAATGTACGCTCGAGCGAAGGGTGCGTGGCTCGAGTGAAGCCACTTATGGAAAACACGCATTTTTGGTTCCTCGCTCGAGCGAGAGAGTCTTCGCTCGAGTGAGCTTCGCAGTCCCAGATTTCTATAAGTACGGGTTTCTGTCAGATTTTAGGATTACTTCTCCAGATCTTCTTCTTGGGTTCTAGGATTTATATCTGGGGATATTTCGCTAGTATACATCAAAGGTTTGTTTGTTTATTCTATACAAAAAAGAGAGTTGTTCTTCGGTGGATTCTAAAGAATTCGAGCCTGAAGCTTTGGTGGATTTCGGAGTGGCTCATCGTCAAGACAATTCCGGGGTGAAAACGGGGTTGGAAGAGACACATAGAGGTTGGTTCAATTCGGGCGTGGATTCGTTAGGTAATTGAGAGTATATCTGTGTAATTCCTTTATATCTTTTTAGTGGATTGTTTTGTGGCTGTTGCCCGTGTTTTTTTTATCACAATTGGAGGTGTCAATTGTGATTTTTCCACGTAAAATGTTGTGTCGATTTGTTGATTGTTTGATTGAGATTGTTATATACTGCTTAAAATTGATCCATAATCACAAATCAACATCTAGGAGATTTCTAGATTTTTCACTGTGTATCCATGGAATGCAGTAATGTTGGATCTGGGGGTCTTGTTGACTGCACAAGTTAATTTAGTACTAATGAGGTAGTCTCATATCGAAAATAAGTACTTTTTCTTTTTATTTTCACATGTTTAATGACTTTGGTGAATTTGACATGTAGGTTTTCAAGAGCAAAGAAGAATTGTTCAGCTGGGTTCGGGTTGTTGGAAGGAAAAATGATTTTGTGATTGTCATCAAGACATCGGACTATGGTGGCGATCATAGGACACCAAGGATATATATTGTCTGTGAGAGAAGTGGTCAATTAAAAAGAGATGATTCAAACAAAAAAATTGTGAAGATAACAAGTACAAAGAAATGCGAGTGTCCCTTTGAGTTGAGGGCTCATAAGTTGATGACTAATGATGCTTGGATGCTAGATGTAGCATGTGGAATGCATAATCATGCTCCTGCTAAACATTTTGAAGGACATTCATTTGCAGGAAGATTATATGAGGAGAAAACATCATTATTAGTGGATATATCCAAAAGCATGGTCAGACCAAAAGAGATTTTGGTTACCTTGAGATAAAAGGATGCTTTGAATGTAACCATTATGAAAACCATTTACAATGTACGTAACAGGAATAATGTTATTGAGAAAGCTGAGAGATCACAGATGCAACATTGTTAGGTGAATTAGAAAAACATAATTACATTGAGCGGCATAGGTGTGACAATAACACGATGACTGTCACAGACTTGTTTTGGGCACATCCTGTCAGTTTAGATTTGCTTCGTTCATTTCTAAAGGTACTGATCATGGACTGCACATATAAGACAAATTGATATCGTCTTCCTCTTCTTGAGATAGTTGGTGTGACATCCATAATATGTCATTCTCCGTAGCATTTGCATATCCTAATTTGAGCTGATTGATAACTATGTTTGGGTGTTAACTACATTGCGTAGTCTCTTGGATGACATTGCTATTCCTGAGGTGATTATCACGGACAGGAAGCTTGCTTTGATGAATGCTATTGACAAGGTGTTTTCTACATCTCGACATTTATTATGCCGATGGCATATTAGTAGAACTGTACTGGCAAAATGCAAGAAAATGTTTGAGAGTAAGAAGAAATGGGACAAGTTTATCTCTTCATGGAATTTCTTAGTACTCTCCTCGACTGAGCTTGAATATAATAAATGCCTTGCCATGCTACTTGCGGATTTTGATACATATCCTGAGGCAGTGCAATACGTGTCACAAAGTTAGTTAATTCTATATAAGGATAAGTTTGTTGCCATATGGACAGATAGTTGTATGCACTTCGGGAATGTTACAACCAATAGGTAATATATATTTGTCTACCTTGCACTATTAATCGTTATGATCTTGATTATTTAAACTTAATTATGTTAATTGTTTCCATTGTACACAGGGCTGAAAGTGCACATGCAAAACTTAAACAACTACTTGGTTCTAACCAAGTCAATTTTGAGTGTTCTTGGACCAAGATCCATAGTTCGCTTGAGTTGCAGCACGTTGATATTAAGGCATCGTTTGAGAAGAGTTTAACCGTTGTACAACAGCAGTTCAAACTATCCCATTTTAGAGAGCTCCGAGACAATATCTCTATTACTGCATTAGATCATGTCTTAGCAGAGAGTAAGCAAGTGGATGATGTTGGCATTGATGCTTCTATGTGTGGATGTGTTGTTTGACGAACACTCGGGTTACCTTGTGCCTATAAGATTGCGGATTACATCTAACACCCGCACTGGAGGACTCTTGAGATAGTACAAAAGTTGAAAAATGATAAAGTGGAATTGAGTTATGAACCAAAGTTTGATCTCATACTTAAGCGATTCAATGCATCTGATTATACTATGAAGTTGGAAATTCTGTATAAGTAAGGAAAGATTGCAAATCCGCAAAGTACTTTTCTCATTGAGCTGGATGTGAAGCCCAACCCTCGAGGTAAGGAACATAAAAAGATAAATGTATTTATGCGTCGAGACCCGTGTGCATTTGAATTGGTTTAGTATGGACATGATAGCCACTCACCTATGGGCCCCACATAGGATTCTGTCAAAGTACATAAAAAACGGTCTGCCAATGAGAAGTTACATGTAATTATTTTTTAATTACATTTTTGTTGATGATAAATTATGCGTTTTGTTGTTCATGTGTTGATGCTTTCCCTGTTGAATAAGTATATCGGACTCGTACAGCTATGACTTATTGATACGTTGATGCCCTCCCAGTTGGATTGAAACCATACGTACGTCTTATTAAGGATGTAGATGCCGATGACAACTGTGGTTTTAGGGCCATTGTTGGCTTGATGGGGCTTACAGAGGCTGAATGGGGTCAAGTCAGGCGTGATCTCCTACAGGAATTGCACACACACAAAAACCATTATTGTGACAACCCTCGCCACTATTTACTGATATACTACTAATTAGTGCTAAACTGTGGTTAAGTATGTTAAGTAACTGATCTGACTAAAATTCGGAATTGGTTAATTAAGTGTATTAGTTTAAATGCAAGTCTATCTGTTTGACTGCTAAATGATCTGTTCATATTTTATGTTTTAAACTGCAAATTGAAGGCCTTATCGGCGGCCGAATCAGAAATTGATTCCCTGATTTGACTTTCAACTGGTGGTATCCAGATCTAAGGTCAATCTTAGAGAAAACCTGGGCACCCTGTAACTGGTCAAACAAATCATCAATACGAGGTAGTGGTATTTGTTTTTCACTATTACCTTATAAGCTCACGTAGTCAATAACAGAGTCTCAAGGAGCCGTCTTTCTTTTTCACAAACAAAACTGAGCGCCCCATGCGAAGTACTCGCCTGATGAACTTCTTATCTAACAGCTCTTGTACTGAAACTTTCAGTTCTTTCAATTCAGTCGGTGTCATTCTGTAGGAGCTTTAGATAACTGCCTGTGTACCAAAATCACATCAATTGTGAACTTAATCTCCCTATCAATCAAATCCCCTGGTAAATCATCTAGAAAAAACATTTGGAATTCTTTGACTATAGAATACTGTTCACATCGGTTTTAGCATTCAGTAGGTATAGTCAATACACAACACAAATACCTTTAAAACATTTTTTAATTAGTTTTAAAAAGCTTTCATAATGAAATACAATACGGGGGAGGTACTACTCCAACTCCGTTAAACACAATATCAAGCAGTCCAGTAGACGGAAAACAACTTGTTTTGTACACTACAGTCTATGAGCATGATATTTTGTTAACTAGTCCATTCCCAATACAGACATCGAAATGATCGATATTCAAAGGCAGTAAATCATATAACAAATGCACATCCCCAACAATAATTTCACATGCCAGGGTACATATAAGCACAAGTCATGATCTCCAACAGGTCAAGATATAGCTAACAAATAATTCATGGATTCCAGTGGTCCTATTCATTTTTTCGTGAAAAAGCATGTGAGACATAAGAATGTGTAGACCCCGAATCAATCAGAACATAAGCATTTGAGACAAAATTGAGAGTATTACCTGACACAACAGTCTCGGTATTCTGCACATCTCTCGGTACACGATGCGAACACTCGGCCTTGCTTCATAGGCTCTTTTCCAATACTTTGGGGTGGGTTTCGGTGGAGTGTTGATGCTGCTAACGCTTTGGTGCAGCTTTACTATTGCCCTGAGGAGCAGAAGGGCAATCTTGACCATGTGGCCCACCTTGCCACACTTGTAACAAGCACCAGAAATTTTATAACAAACCTTTTAGCCTCTTACACATTCTGAACAGGCGGTATGGAATTGTTTCCCTGACTGGAACTGGTTGTTGACCCTTGTATTATGCTTTTTTTGTTCGAGTAATTATTTCGGCCTTTCTTGAACTTAAAGCCTCATCTCTTACCGCTAATTCAGTTTCCCGGTGTTTCAGTCTATTTCAGTGCCTCAATATTCGACTCGGCTATTATCACTCGGTCAAGAACATCAACGTATTCAGGAGTTCAGAACATTGATTCTGTCAAGTATTTCAACATTAAGGCCGCCTTTAAACTTCCTAGCCTTTTTGTAATCAGTGTCCACCATGTGTGGCGCATCTTGGCGAGTTCAGTAAACTTTGATTATATATCTGCTACTGACATGGTACCTGCCTGCTTTAACTGCTCAAATTAAGTTATCTTTCGATCCCTGACACACTGAGGGAGATAGTTCTCGAAGAAGGACTCTTTAAAACTGAGCCAAGTCATGACAGTATTCGCATCACGGACGAGCATCCACCATCGTCTGGCCTTTTCTTTGTAAGAGTAAAGGTAGCCAGCAATACCTTGTGTGCCTCAGAAACGTAAACACTTAAAATAATTTCTCCGTTTCTAGCACCATGCTTCGCCTTTAATGTTCCAGGCCTCCTTGGAAGGATGGTGGTTTCATTTTGCTGAACTTCTGTTTAGAGCAATTATATCCTCATTAACATCTGTCTGGGTTGAACTGGAGGAAGTGGGGCTGTTGTTCTGTTGTAGCCTCAAGGCCTCAGTCAACAGTTTAACTGTTCTTTCTAATCTTGTCATTCTGGCATCAGATGATTTCTGTTTATCGACATTTCTTGCATTGTTCCATTTCACTATAGCAATACAGTAGTAATAACATAGGAATTGCTTACATAAACACATTAGCACACTAGCACATATATTCATGTCACGGCTACACACCACTTTTCAATGCTCATGCAATGCCCTATTCACTTTCCAGACATCCTCTATGCTCATTTGGACACGTGTGTGCGGTATAACTCGTGGTTTGATATCGCTCTGATACCACTCTGTCATGACCAAACTGCCCTATGGGTTTTAGCACCGTAACCGGCCAGTAATCCGTAATACCAAGGCTATACTTAACAGTAAAACACAGTGAATAACAGATACAGGGCTAGTGGAAAGCCAAAATAGTAATAAAATGGTCCAATAAGCTGTCACTTGTTGTATGCAAAAAGACTTTCAAACATATTCACATTCATAAGCAAAACATTTATACAACATATACAGAATATTCAGGTTAGGGATCAAATCCCTACATGATAGTACAGTAACAAGTCTTAACATTCTATACAAAACAGAAGCAGAAAGGGGGAATCTAAAACACCCCAAAGCAGCCTTAGCTTGACACACTTGGAACCTCGCAGTGAGGCACATTGTTGGCTAGAACAAAAGGGAGTTTACCTAACGCCTAGTTTATTCCTAGCTTTGATCCATGCTGAACACCTACAATAAAATATAAACACTAAGCTAAACCCAGTGAATAACAAATGCGTAAAGGGTTAAGCATGAATGTCCTTTCAGTCATTAAAGCAGTCATATCAGTCATTTAGAAACCATAGTAGGTATATATGGCATATCAATAGCACAGTATAGTAAGTCTTAACAGACCGAACAGTCAGTTGATGGCTATCATAACAGTAAACAGTAGTGTTCCAAACATGGACTGACAGAGATCTCTGTGACAGTACAGTAACAGTAGAGTAACAGTAAATTGCTATGGATACCATGAATACAGTTTACAAATAGACAAACATTCATTTCATTAAACAATAACGTTTTCAGTAAACAAACAGTTGATCATTCGAAAAATATTCATAATTGCATATATCTTTACAACTTGTTACTCACAGAGCACTGGCGCTACAAAGAGGCTATGTGAACGTTTCGGATGCCAACCCTTACAGTTACAAGAATGAAACAACACTAAGTTACACACTTGGGAATCAATGACTTAGTCCCTATCTTGACTTTTGTGGTTCTACATCAATATCCTCATTAAGATGCCTTAACCATGGCCTAGGAATGCTAGGATGGAATGAGGATGCAAAGATGCACTTTTAAACACTTCAAGATTTTCAGAAATAGGGTCTCGCTCGAGTGTGGCTTTTCTATGCTCGAGCGGACATGCAGTCAAAGAGCTCCGCTCGAGCGTGACTTCCTTTGCTCGAGCGGACTGTAAACTCATGAAAAGTACTGGATACATACAATTCACGCTCGATTGGCGCTCGACCTCCGCTCGAGTGTGCATTTCCTCGCTCGAGTGGACTATAAACATTATGAAAAGTATCTGGATACACGCATTTTACGCTCGAGCGTACTTTCCCGCGTCGAGCGGGATGCATGTACTCAGAGTGTACGCTTGAGCGTGAAGTCTTACGCTCGAGCGTGGGTCCAAAAATCTAGAATTTCCTAATTGAACCTCCAAGCTCAAAATTCACATTAAAGAATAAATTCGATTGTTTGGGCCATTTTCTGGAAAACACTTTAAAACTATAATAGACATGTTTCAAAGATCAATTTGCAAAATCAAAGCCCAAGGTAGTTCAATTTAACACAAATCCAAACAAAACTTCATAAACATAATGTATATGTAACATGCAAGTGTTCAATTGAAATCAAAGCTCAAATAGTTGATCAAATGAGTCATTCACTCAAAACATGATGAATTCATGGACCATAGCTAGAATATAAACATGCATGTGAGGATTTCTATGAAATCAACCTCAAACTCAACAATGTGTACATGTATGCATGATTCCAAGCTTCAATTCAACTAATTTAAAAACCAATTCTAGACTTAGATCACTATGGTTCATGGACCATGCAAGATACAACTAGAATTCAAGTTCAAGAAGATGATTCTCCTACCTAGGTCTTCATTTCAGTCTAGAAGCTCAAATATGCAATGAA